GGGGGGGGGGGGGGGGAGGATGGGTTAGCCTGGTCATGGGTATTAAAGAGGACACATTCTGCATGGAGCACTGGGTGTTATGCACAAACAATGAATCATGGAACACTACATCAAAAACTAATGATGTAATGTATGGTGATTAACATAACATAATAATAATAATAAAGAATGGAACTATTTTGGGTATCATGTTCCTTCTCACCTGTATTAAAATTCCCACTGAACAATGAGTTCTGGGTTGCAAAAGAGGATTTGTTTTTCCCACTTGTCTAAGTCTTTGTGAGCTAAACAAAATCAAAAGCAAGTGCAAAGATTACAGGTGGGGAGTCTGTGAAGTCTGTCCATATTCAAGTGGAGATCAGAGAAGCCCAACCATAAGAACCGTGGGCTGACTGAGAGTGACAACTGTGGATGGAACAGAAGTTCTTTGTAGAGAGGTGATTTTGAAGATTGTGACTCCCACTTTGGAGGAGCTAAGGTGATCCGCAGTGGAAGGAATCCCATGTGAAATATCTTAAATAAAAATTTATTGACTTAAAAAATGGAACTGTTTTGTCTAGAAGACAATGGAGTATCTTTAAAACACTCAAGAAAAAGACTTGCCAACCAAGAATTCTATATTGAGCAAAAGGAGCCTTCAGGAAGTAAGGCAAAATACATTTTTCAAAGGGTAATTAAGAGAATTCACCACCAGTAGATCCGCACTAAAGAAAATACTACTGGGTATTCTTTACGTAGAGAAAAAAATCGATCTAGATGGAAGTTTGTAGATGCAGGAAGGAACAAAGAACAATGAAAATGACAGATATGGGTAAATCAAATAATATTGATTATATATAATATTAAAAGTGCTTTGTTGAATTTTTACGTAGACACACATACACAAACACAGAAGTAATTAAAATATCACCCCCCAAAACCTAAAAAGTAGTAAATTTCCATGTGATATGGACTGTGGCTTTCTATTTTACCTACTTTATCTTTTTTGATAACTAAGATTGATTTAGTTGTACACACACTTCTTGAAAGATATACTTTATTTGTTCCATAAAAGTTGTAAGTATTTTTAGAGGGAACAACTGGAGTGAATGTTCAAGTTTATTACTCTAGAGTGTGTGTGAGCGTGAGCCCATATAAAATGTGCATATTATCAGGGGGGAAATTGTTCTGGGCTATTTTAATAATGTAAAGAGACCTAAAAATTTTTGAGTGTCTACTACCTGTCAAACATTTAGGTACAAACTTCACAAAAAGTATTTTGTTTATGCTCACAGCAGATTAGTGAAAAAAAAGTGTGTTCTTTTTTACTACAGGGAAAAAACCGAAACTACAGTCTCAGAGAGATTAAATCACTTGCCTAACATCATAACTATGAGCTGATGGAATAGTAATTTAATCCCAGTCTTTGGCCCCCAAGACCCATTTTCGTTCCCTATGCTCCTATCTCTGCCCCTGTGAACAGATATTAGAATGCCACTAAAAGAGATGAATTTAATATTTCCACTACCCCCAACAGTGATAAATGTTAGTTGAAATAAGTAAGATCCAATGGCACAAGCTCATCGCTTTATTTCATGGTTCAGAAAGTTGTGGAATAGTGTCTGCCTTATATGTACTCACGCAGTTCTAATCCTCCTGCATAATGGGTGATGAGGCTGATATTTAATTACATCACATTATATCACACATATGTATTTGCATATACATATGTACAAAGATACCTACAAGTTACAGTATCAGATGGTGATGCCCACTGAGTTCCAAGTGGGAGGACCAGTCTGGAGCTGGCTGGCTCCATAAATCCTGTCCCAAACCTCTTAGAGCCATTAACATCATACACCAAGCAGAAGGAAGAAATCCTACAAGTGGGGATTGTTTAGCTGCAATTGAAAGTCAGAGAAACAAAGTTCTCAAGTGTAAATATCCCCTAAGAATCTATTTGCTTATCCCTGCCTAACACTGGTCAGAGGTAATGTAATTTCCGTAACACTACAAATCCTATTTCTAAACACACTGGCCTCTATTATGGCTTTGCATTTTCCTACATGACCCCCTGTACTTGGGTAGAGTCTGTGTCTCCTTGCTGACAGACAGTCCGACACCTGCTAATGGTCAGGTTCTTGGTGTGTGAGCCATATTATACAAACTCCTCAGAGCAGCCAACATTTCATGTTCTGAATATAACATTTACTGTATACTTGTAGATATAATCTAACTGAAAACGTCCACATGTTACCAAGTATCTGTAGACTCATTTTTAAGAAGAAATATCTTCAAGGCCTTTATAAGAGGTAACATTGCCGATCACTCCAAAAGCTATGATGCAGATGCATATGCTTCCCATTATATACATCATAATGTTTGGGGGCATTTTGAAAGCCTTCATTACGCTTTCATCTCAAAACTCCCAAGACAAGTCTTGGAATTAAATGTTGTAACGTGGTCCATAGCTTGAAGAGCCTACCTAAAAATTCATGAAAGTGACGAGGAGAGAGATTATTTGAGCTGTGGACTAAAAAGAGCTGATAATAACAGAATTTATTTTCAACCTGGATAGGTTGGGGAAGATCTTCTCTACCACTTCAAAGGCTTGCTTTTGGTCCCTTCCTCCTAAATTCTGGCTTTGTCTCCTCCCAGAGAAGCTCTGCTATCCTGGGAAAAGATACCACACCACACATCTTCAGCTGGGTCTATGCAAGCTAGGAGCAAAAGACTATTCAGATAATCTGATCATTGTAAGCAGTGGACAGGATAGCTCAGGCCAAATGTTATTTTTGTCCTCATTAATTACTTATCTTTGCTAATATTTACCCTCACTAATATTTTTCTGCTCCCTAATTATGTAGGCTGAATTATCTAGATGATGCATTTTTTTTGATCTGCATATATGTGACCTAAAATAGGTTTTTTCCTCTTTCTTTGGTGAAAGTCAAACTCTTGTTGCACATATCTCAAATAAGCACACTAAAGTATTCATAACAAATCTATTTTTATTTCATAATTAGGTTTGTCAGAAGGACACAAACATTTTTAAAGGTTAACTGATCATTAACAGTTAATGAAGAAATCACACTGAGGGATTTGTCTGTGAGAATAGAGATGGTTAGGTTGATCTCCTTGGAATTCCCTTGGTGGGGAGCATTATCTACCTCAAAACACGCTGTACTGTTTGGGAGATGAAACAAAGAAGGTAGGATTCTGTGACATGATGTTACTTGAAACCAGAATGATCAGTCTGTGAATTGCTTGAATTTGAGACCCACGTGGGTCTTCCCTATGGTGCCAAGAGCTTCAAGATATTGTTGATCAAGTGTTCACGCTCCAGGGTTTGCAGTTTTGGTAACATTCAATATGTAATCCTGAGCACCTGGTAAGTGTTGGGGACTAGAAAAGCGTACCTCTGGTTGAAGATCCAGTTCTTGTCTTCAGTGGGGAGACAGAACATGCAAACGAAACAAGCAACTTCACAGGGGCGGAGTTGGATAATGGCAGCCATGTTATCTGGTGATGTCCGCTTGGGTGTCTATTGGCAACTCAAACTTTACGTGTCCCAGATGGCCCCCCTGGTATGCCCTTGCCCACTGGTGTCTGCTCTGTTCTTCTCCATGAATGGCATCCCCATGCTTCCAGGGGTTCAGGTCAAGGTGCTGGGAATCATAATTTACTCAGCTCTTTCTCACACTGCACATCTCCAAATTACAAGCAAATCCTGTTGGTTCCATCTTCCAAATATATCTAGAATGAGACCATATCTTCCTGCCTCCACCACCACTGCCCTGGACAAGCCAGCTTCTCACTGGGAGAAAAAGCCGCCATGAACAAGCCCTTCCACCACTCACTGCACTGTAGTGACACTGGTCTCCTCAATGAACTCCAAAAGACACGAGCTTCTGGGTCTGTGCGTCTGCTGTTCCCTCCGTTTGGGATCCTTCCTGCCCTGTGTACTATTGCCTCCCGTTCCCCTTTACAGAGAGAGCTTCATGGACCACCACCCTAAAGTAATGACCCTCCATCCCGAGTATCCCCATCGTCTCTAGGCTGCTTTATTTTTTCCCCATAGCACTTATTATATTTGCTTACATATTTATTTGTGCCACCTCTTCCCCCAGACCCCCAAGACTATATGCTCCACGAGGGTGGAGATATTGACTGTTTCACTCATTGTTCTCTCACCAGAGCGTAGAATACTTCCTGGAGTGTAATAGGTGCTCAGTAAAAATCCGAAAGAATAACCAGTTCCGTGTTCGCTTTCCCTACGTAAAAACACTGTAATGGCACCAATGGCCGACAGAGGTCAATGTTTAGATGCCGAAAGACTGCCTGTCCTTGTTTCTTTTCATCAGCCAGGACTAAATTGGACTTCAGTCCTCCCCAGGGAGAAGAGCAGAGCCTTCCTGGGTCTGGCTCACCCCTGAACCGGCAGCTTTCTTGGCTGAGTGATTGCTGCCTCAACTCATCTTGATTTCACCGAATCACACTTCAGCTGCTTTCTCTCCACTCCTGAGTTCCCCTTTGCTCTTTCAGATGTGCTAATAATCATTAATTCATTTCATGATAATGCCGGGGTTCAAAGAGTCTCTGATGAAACCCCAAGGAAAATATATCCAGGAGGGCAGTGCCATATAAAACCCAAGCATGTTACATAACTTCTGGTGGCTCAACACGGCCCATTTTTTTTCCCAACCCATAAATACCTTCTTTTCCAAACACTTTGAGCAGTCTGCAGGATGAAATGTGAGCATGAATAGCCTTTGTCCTATGTCAGCTTGAGGCCCCTCTGCCTTTCATCTCTGGATGCCTTGTAGCCAGCACCTCTCCTTTTTAGGGGCGGGTTACCTCCTGTCCTTTCCCACCCTTTCCTGCCCTCCTCCTGCTGTGGCAGGCACACCCGTTAGCTCACCGCTGCTTCTATGAGAAATCTGCCCACCCCTCCCTCTCTCCAGCAACCCCCAAATCAACTCCTCTAAAACGATCACCTCCAATTTCTATTCAGGATGGAAGAACCAAGACAGAGAGGCAACACATCCTCACTTCCAGGCTGATGATTATTTATTCAACGTCACCTTCCTGGTCTGGCTAATGACTGGCTTTTAAAATCATTTTTAGCTCTTCTGTGCGTAAGTTTAATAAAATTCTTTTAACTACTTAGTCAACAACTACTGTATCTAAATACTGTATGCATATCCACATATTTATGCTGTTTGGGTGTATATTTCAATCTTAGATTGGTGCTATGTCTATATACACACATATGTACATACCACCAAAAACAAGATATAAAGAAAACAAAACGTCTGTTGTTTAAATAT